CACAAAAGAGCACCGACAGACCAACTGCTTAACTGACAGCTACTCCATGCATCCTAAGATGGCCTGAACCTTTTTGAATTCTATTCCTTTTAATGCCTCAGCTCAAAAGAACCCACTTCAAACAGGAACTGCTTCAAGAAGATATGATGCTGCTGTTTACCATGTATTATTTATAATACCAACATGGCTGTCTTGAATTAAAAGCAGTTTTTCTTTTTCTTTTCAGGAGCAGGAAAATGTTGTGCTTTTAGGACATTCATATTCTTTTCAAACTCTAGATGGAATGAAACCACGAAAATTGAATCATTTTGTATTCATCATTTGCATTAGTCATGACATAGCTAACATTGCTTTATCATTGAGTTTCTTGATCTGAATTCTCCAAATCATATTCGGAAATAACATTAAAATAATGTTAAATGATTGGTAAAATCTAGTAACAAAACTTCCACCAGGATCTAAAAAAGGCTTAATGTACATTGTCTAATAACTGTTAAAATACTATTCCTTGAAAAAGGAACAATTCCTTTGTACATTCTAGAATTCTAAACATTAATTGCTTTGTGGATTATCAACTCTTTAAGTGAGGGGAGCCTGGGGGTTTGTTTTAACCAAATTCTAAAATTAAGCATTAGAGAGATTAAAGCAGGTGCAATAAATGTTGATTGAAATCACCTAGGAGCCAGGGTGACCAGTTTTTTTCTGGATATCTTCTTGTGTAAACAGCTGGAGTCATTACTAACAAAAATGCCAAATGATGAAGGTATAATAAAATACCACACTGTTGGGCAATTAATTCTACTGTTTCAGGTCCAGAAGTGAGTTAGTTTAGACAAATGGAGATCTGAGAATTAGCACAGATGGTGTTAAAAACGGACTCCACAAAATGACAAACTATTCATCATGTCATCTGTAGCTAAAGCAAACTGTTTTTTTTTTAGAATGTTTGGCAATTCCTTTGTCTTTTCATTTGCTGAGATCATAAATCGTTGTCATTCTTTTTTTTTGCTTAAATTCTAAGGGCATCTACGTATATAATCTACAGGACAAAATACTTTAATTCTCTGTTGTCTGTCTTGGGTTTTGTGTAAGAACAAGCTTGGTTCTTTATTAACGATCAAAAAAAGGGTATCGGATTCCTGAATATTCAATTGCTTAATGCTCACACATTTCAGGAGCCCTTAGATGTGTGTGGCTTGCATTCGGAAATCTAGCATTTTCGTTAAAAAAATCTGTGTCCTAGATTGTGAACTATCCTGACTTTATCGAGTCAGATCTGTAAAATAAAAAATTTAAGTAGCTGTTAATAGCTTCTTAAGGTCAGAAAAATTCTAAGGCTGAAAAAATGACACTACGAAGTTGTGGATTCACAGACCTTGTGTATCACCAGTTTTGTGCCTACATAGTTTTAAGAGATTCCATAAATGGTACTAATCAAGGTCTGTGTACCCTGTCTTAGAACTGAACTGCAAGAGGATAGTTTCGGGAGGCCACACTGATTGAGAGCTTTAATTTGAGTCTTTTATGTAGGGTTTTGGTGACCCTTATATCTCGCGATCACAAAACCATTGAGCAATGCATTTACTCTGGGATTCTAGGGAACACAGGCAGGTTTTCACTTTATATATACTGTGACATGAGCTTTTTTTAATCAGGAACATTGCCACCTTACAGAAATGTCTATAGTGAATGCAGCAGGCTCAACAAGTAACTCTTCAGTAGACTAGGAATCAAAGGAAACTTTCAGACTCCGTTCAAATAGATTTAAAATTGCATTCCGCCATTCATCATTATCATTATCAAGTCTGTTTAACTTTCCATTCAGGGCCTGAATGGAGTCATGTTCTGCCTTGCACATTGTGCTTCCAGAGTTGGCCGTGCATTGCGGTGACCCAAAAATAATAAGAATTCGTAGTGGGAATATGCCCTTAAAACTGTTTGAGTGGTGTTTGCAAGTGCATCTGAGCCCACGTCTGACCTCCAGCGCTTGATACCTCGTTTATGAGTCCATTAGGATGAAGAAGTCCTGAACCTTGCATGCAGCAGCATTTTGTATCGTAAATAAATCTCGGGTTACTGTTCGTCTTTGATCGACTACAGCTGATTGGGTATGATAGAACAAAGCTTTTTCCCCTGTCCGATGGAGCACTTCCGTGCAGTTAACATGCACGTGATTAAGTTCAGAAGGCAGGAGTTCTGCTGAGTAACCCGTGTGATTAATATAAAAGGAAGCCTGTTTTAATCACAGAAGAAAGTGCTATTTTAACAGCCACTGGCTTCGTGCCCTTTCTCGTGGCCGCCTCAATTCACAGTCCATTAAGGTACATTTCGAAGCTGTTTTTTGAACCATTTAACAAAAGATCATTAAGCTGGATGTGGAATTAACTAATTTTGGCACCAAAACACATGCTGTTGGGGTTCAATGAGTGCCAGTTAAAAAAGATTTGCTACTCTCCTGAGTGCACTTAAAACCGACAACTGGAAGCTACATGTCTTCACGCAAAGGCTTGTGGGAGCAGTTGCATATTGCTTTATGTACAGTAGTTTCCATCCTGGAAAGAAAGCATTGTGACTCAAATCTATGAAACACAGAGGAGATTAGTCCCGAGTCAAGTCCGGCAAAAAGAATGTGTTTGTGCCAAGTCATTGGAGGGCGACTCGGGGTAAAAAAACCCTCGGAGTGTAGGACACTCTACATGCAAGCAGTTCCATCAAGGGCAGTTTTGGATGCTTCGGTGCCGTTTCAGTTTGCCAAAGGAGTCAGCCAGTCTGTAAGAATTGACTGTGCTTTTTTATTGTTAATAACGGTGCTGGAGAGAAAATGTAGAAATGAAAGTCCCTTCACCCAGAGCTTCACAAACCATTTGAGGAGGCCACCCCTACAGGCCTGTATGGGGGTCATGAAGCTAATTAGCCCCATAAATAAGTCGCAGCAAAACTACCCACCAGTGAGCACTGCTCTGATCTGGCCAACATTTGTAACCACTTGTAGAAGGACATGGCACCCATCTGCATCAATCTGTGCAGTTTTCATCGTCACTGTCCATGTTATTGTGTGTTGTTTACTACTTGAATTGCTTCACAGTGCAGTTTTATGGTAGTTGTTCAGTTAACAGTTCAGTTAACTTTAGAAGCAACCTGTCTTTTGTATTAGTGCATTTAACACAGTGTACGGAAGTATAGTTATTAAAATACACAAATCAACACTGGCTGGATAAAAAAAAATACATTTCTGCTCTAGACGTACAGGACATGTCAGGGAGTGTGGAGTTGCTGAGCCTCCACTGCAGGCATTTTGTGGCCATTTTTTGTGTGATCTTGCATGTACGAATATGCTGCTGCCACATTTAGTCCTTTTCATCACCCCTCCTGTTCCAGCGATCCGTCACTGCTACTTTACACTAGCAGGGCCGAACTGCAGGGGGCAGTTTCTGAAAGGGGGTGCATTTGACGTTAATATCTGTGTCACAGCACTCCAAATTAGGTGTGGGGGCTCAGGTTGGGAGAGAGCGATTTCAAGGCCGCGGAGAAAAACAAAAGTACAAAAAGCAGGTTCGGAAAGAGTTTTGAAATCAGAGTAGAGCTGTGATGGCACAGCAGTGAGGATTTAAAATTGTTTACGTGGGGCTAAAGTAGGGTTAATGGCCATTTCAGAGCTGTGGCATGGGCGTTTGTAGATAATGCAAAGGGCTATTTGGAAGGTAAAATGGAGTTGGGAAGATCACTTTCTCCTCACCCTGCAAGTTCTCTACTGCCTGCAAGGTGAACCTACAGTGCATTTGCATTCTTGTGTCCTCAGTTTGCCTTTATGTAGGACATTTAAAGAAGAACTGTCCGTTTTAAAACAGGTCTGTAATGCTCTGCGCAGTGACGTCTGGTCTTGCTAGACTTGTTTCCGGTGGACTGTCTTTTAATCTGCCACTGTGGGACTTGTATATGCAGGAGGTCTCTAGGGGTCTTCTGTATAGATGCTCTCTCCAGGTTAGAGTTTCAATGCATCAGTTGGGAGTTCTCAGGAAACAACTCCCCCCTCCTCTTTTTGCTTGTCTCATGTCCTCAGGTTTGAATTCTGTCTTGAACATTTTACAAATATTTCAAAAAGACACAAAAAATAAGCAGGAATACGTTTTTTAATTCTCGTGTCAAATATTAGGCCCATCCTCTGTTGTCTCAGTATATTATGTTTTAATACTTCTTCTTATGCTTTTTTGAGCTATTTTGTGGTCACATTCTTCAACCCCTTCAATAACAATTGAGCTGGTCCGGATTGTTCTTTTTGTTGTCATCATTAAAACATCAGACGACAATCTTTTGGATTAATTCCATTTTGAGAAAAGTAAGCCTCAGAGAATCTTAGATAAATGACATAATTAATGAGTCAAATCCTTGAAACACAGAGGAGATTAGCCCTGAGTCAAGAAACAAAAACTGCAGCTCAACAATGTAAAACATTTGTTTAATGTCATGTTACTGAAAAGTTAGGTATGGAAAGGAATATACCAATATGAAGGCACCTGACTTATTTATCCCTTGAGGGGAAAAGATCATTATACCCTTTGCTCTTTCAGACTGTTCTACCAACAGGGATTAGTAAGAGACAACAGGAGTGCTGCTAATATAAACTGTTTCTCTGTGCATTTTGGAGAAACCTTTTTTTACATTAGAAGATTCAAACAAAATACATCCATAGCAAATAGCCCAGATTTCCATAATTAAGCATGTGTGTGGCAGACGCAGGAGTAGTGTTTCTCAGCTTGAATATTTACCTTTGATATTATTTTATTAAGTGCTCACATGTACAGTATGTGTGGTTGATTCCATTAAAGAAGTACTGTACATCAGGGCTTTAAAACTGCACCCCTTAAAGGAAGGAAGTGATTTCAAAATGCCCTACGTTATTCAACACCATACAGATTCGGGTTTGGAAGAATTTGACGTAGAACTCTATGATTACTTGTCGGATTGAGGTTATACGTTTATTTTCTTGTGCTTTGTTACAGGTGGTACAGACGCTGCAGGCAAGGAGAAAGACGACTCCTGATTACGGTAGGCGGTGTACCGATTTGTGCCACGCCTGTTACAGTGAAATGGTGGAACCTGAGTGTCTGAACTGGGGAGAGAAAGAATTAGTGTTTCTAGTTTCTTAATTATGTAGTAGAGAATTAATAACAGTTTGTGACAGGGCTTTAGTCATGCTTAATTTCACATTATTAATACACGGTGGCTCATGCATATGAATGGGTTCTTAAAGCATTTACAGTATTTAATGTCAATGCATGTTAGATATAAGAGAGCATAATTTTGAGAAAGTAATTAATAATCACAGGGAAGGAAGGGGGCCTCAAACTTTTCTCACCAACGCAACACATCAATTTCCATCAGGACCTTCAGTTTAAACTGTACTCAACTCACTCGATAGCAATTAAATAAGGAGGATAATTAAAACTGAAATAATTAAGAGAATAACTGTGGGGCAGCAGCTTCATAATAAATTAGTTTGAATCAAAATGCTGATTTTACACAGAAAGTGAGATCGAGCCAAGCTGTTTTGCTCCGGGGATGTTTTTGGATTTGCTTTAAGGGTTCCCCAAATTAGATATCGTTGGTTTAAGGGAACATCAGTGACTTCATAAAGGGAATAATTCCATAAGCTTTGGTGAAAGCTACCATACTCATTAATGTCTTAAAGCATTTTGGAGTTTTCTTTTCCCTGCTGTTAAGGGGAAGGAATTACTACTGTTGTTTTTGCTGCTAATTCTTTGGTACATCTGAGTACATCTTGTTATTACAGCAGTAATCCTAACCTTAACCCCCCAAAAGTAACTGTGCATTCGTATTTTAATGTACCTTGGTGTGCAACAGTGGTTCCCGTCTGATAGCTAGATCATGAGCATTATTATTGTGGTGAATAGCAGCAGATGACATTGTCGAAGAAGGTTAATTATACATGATCTCCTGTTGAAATCCTTCCTGAGTCTCTCATCCCAGACTAGGAGAAGTAATTGTAGGCCTGTGGGGTAATAGCATGAATTCATTAGAAAATTCAGTAGAATTCCTTCAAAGGGGGCGTGTGGAAGTAAAAAAAAAAAGAATTATATCTAGTTCTCCAGCTCCTTCTCTAGAGTGTGCTGTGCTCATGATGGTGTGGTCGCTCTGGCCAGGATTAAATGGCACTCCATGCTGCAGATTTAATGAGGTGTTTCTATGGCAACCTAATACACCTGCCATACAAAACTTGGAGCAAAATTATACCCGAAGAGACTCTTGATAATCCAAATTTGCGATTTCAGCCCCATGCATGCTAGTGAATTGTCTGTGGCAGAGCTGATCACATTGAAACGCCCGTGTTCATTTTGATGTGCTTAAAAGTGCACCGTGGAATGAAATATTTGTATTTTGATATGTCACATTGTGAAAAAGTAACTGAGCAGTTATAGGGTTTTCCACTTGTATCGCAATGTCTATGTTGAAAATTGACTACAGCTTAATATTCCTTTTTGATAGAGAATAGAATATTTCATTTTCCTTGCTTTAGCTTATTTTGAGATTTTTTTGTATCAAAGGAAATGGTTGAAATATATATTCATGTTCAATGTATGACAGATTTATTGAGGAAATGCATTTTATTCCTGTTTATATGTTCATTACTATTCCTCCAGGAGGCATGCCAACAAGACAGTTGCACAGTTTTATTAATCCTGTTCCACTTGATATTAGGCAGCCTGTAAGATGGATTTTTCCTGGTTTTGTTTTGCTAGGTAGAGCAGTTTGGACTGTACTTAAACATATTGCACAGACAAAAAGCATTCCCTAGAATTATTAGCAGAAGCGTAATGGCGATTTTACAAATTGCAAATACAGATCTAAATGGATAGAGTAAGTAGTGAACAATACATTTTGTCCAGCAATAATACCAGAAATAGCCAAGCTTACTGTGAAAAATATTCAGTGCGTATTATATGTATATATTCTATATACTGTATATTTTCAAAGGTACTACAGGAAGATAAGAAAAGTTACAAATGAGAGGAAGTCATTCAGCCCTGAAATCTTGCCCAAATTTCCCATTTCAGTTTTGAGAGTATAGCCTTTTGATTCTTTTTATTTATTACTACCTATTACCACATAAAAAGGAATGTTACTACAAGACAGCTGTAGGGCTTCAAAACGTTTTTTTTTTACCATGAAATGCAGTAGTCTTTTAATTTGGGGCAATCATTGTACTTGAAACAACTAACAAGTGTCTTGGCTTTTATGTTTAGTGCTATCAGGACAGAAACGACGTGGCCAACAGTTTTCACTAGTTTGAAAAATGAATGTCAAGTTAAAAACCGACCACAATGTTAAGTCAAATGAAGTTAACCCTGTGCCAGCTCATTACATACACTACCAGGTGTTTTTAACTTCACATTTTTCTTGTTCTGTTTGAAGCAACTTAATCTGTCTTCAAGTGTGGAATGAGAGATTTCTTCGGCGTCTCCTTCCGCTGTTTAAGAGATTCCAATTAGCAGCCCAGCGTGTGATGTTGTAGTAGAACTCCAATTAAGTAACAAGTGTCGTTTCAATCCATCTTTTTCCCGACCACTAATTCCAGTTCAGTGTGGTGGGGGAGCCGGGGAGTACACCCTGGACAGGTGGCCAGTCCATTGCAGGAGAGACACACACTCACACCAGGGCCAGCTCTTTCAAAAACCAATTAACCTATTAGTATGTCTTTGGACTGTGGGAGGAAACTGGAGCACCCAGGGGAAACCCACGTGAACATGGAGGGAACATACTGACTCCACACAGACAGACCCCCAGAGCCGCAGTGGAACCCAGGGCTAACCACTGCATCACCATCTCACCCACACGTTTCTTTTGCTGTCCTTTATTCGGATGACTTAACAGTGTTCCTAATTTGTCTGCATTTGCAAAATGCATTCTCCGCTTTGTAGATTAAAACCCATTCAGTTTCTATGTTCTGATAAATTCTTTCTTAAATTCCTCATTGGAACTGACTAGCTGTCTTCACAGATTTTTTTTTATCAATGCTTTTACATTCACAGTTTGTGCTCTAGTGTGTTTTGCATGCAGCTTGACAGTACATCAGACTTAAAGTCAAATAAAGAGACTTGAATAGAGGTGGCCTGCAGTTCTCTGTTAAGTTAGTATTTGCTCATTCGCCTGTCAGTTCTCCTGCAGATCCAGCTGAGAGAATCTACACACATCTTTTGCTAAATATGAAAAAATATTTTATTGCTTTTGCCCGTTATACAGAGAAGAATTTAGAAATTATTAATCATCAATCAAATTTGTTTGTGTTGCTTTGTCACTAAAAGACTAACCTGGTTTTGACAAGCATATTATAGGGTTATGATTTGACAGCACATTAAAAATAGAGGAATTGTGTTTGTGGAAGGATACTAAGGTATTGACAGAACCAGATGTGGAAATAACTCTTTTTTCACAGTCCTGATCAGTGTTGGGTTGGTAGGGGATCATTTTGGCAGGTATATAGCTCCATACAGGAATGTAAGCTTACATATTAAGTTTGTCTTAGGAATAAGAAAAACAATAATTTCTCATTCCTTCAAAGAACACGTCTTGGAGAACCAATCTTTTTATTTTGTGTATACGTAACACTGTACTTTATTATACTTTGGGCACAGTGCTTCCATTCATTTTCTAACCAATTCATTCAATTCAGGGTCATGGAGGATGCCTGGAGCCTATCACAGCAAGCGAGAGATTCAAGGCAGGGAGCACCCTGGATGGTACCCAGTCCATCACAGGACACGCATAGAAACAGATTCACACTCTCTCAACATTCCCAGAAGCCAGTTAACCTCCCCCTATGTCTTTCGACTGTGGGAGTAAACCAGAGCACATGGAAAAACTCACACAAACACAAGGAGAACACTCAAACTCCATGTGGATAGTAATAATAATAAGAATTGCTTACGCTTATACTGTATAGCACTTTTCTGGACACTCCACTCAAAGAGCTTTGCAGGTAATGGGGACTCCCCTCCACCACCACCAGTGTGCAGCAGCCACAGTGCGCCAGAACGCTCCCCACACATCAGCTCTCAGTGGGGAGGAGAACAGAGTGATGAAGCCAGCTAATAGACAAGGATTATTAGGAGGCCATAATTGGTAAAGGCCAATGGGAAATTTGGCCAGGATGCCGGGGTTTCTACTACTCTTTTCGAGAGACGCCCTGGAATTTTTAATGACCACAGAACGTCAGGACCTTGGCTTTACGTCTCATCCGAAGGACGGCGTCTTTTTACAGTATAGTGTCCCCAGCACTAAACTGGGGCATTAGGACCCACACAGGCTGCAGGGTGAGCGCCCCCTGCTGGCCCCACTAACACCTCTTCCAACAGCAATCGTAGTTATTCCCAGGAGGTCTCCCATCCAGGTACTGAGCAGGCTCACACCTGCTGAGGTTCAGTGGGCTGCCAGCTGGGAGATGCAGGATAATATGGCTGCTGGTGGTAATAGCATCCCAGGTCTGGTGTTGAACACAGGGCCCCAGTGCTGGGAGCCAGCAGTGCTTACCAGTGTACCACCCATAGGTATAAAACAATACTGTATCCTGTGCTTTGGAAATGTTAATGCAACGTTTAACATTCTAAGTGAGTTACAGACGGCTCTCTCTTAACATTGATGTTTACTTCATCGAGGTCCTCTTTCTGGATGTACAAGTGCCACAGCCTGCAGTAAATGTACAAGAGCAGCTGGAAAATGCAGCTACAAATTTAAGACTAACAGTGCTGTGCCAACAGAAATTAATCTCCCCCCCCCCCCAGTTCTGTGGGCTGGCTCTGTTTGCAGACGGTGCAATTAATCTGTAGAAAAATAGCTTGTAATAAACTTGTTAAAAACTTGACGCAGAAGTGACGATACGCCGACTTGCCAGAATTCCAAAGGAGGGAGAGAATTGAATATTCAGAGTGGGTGCTGTGTTGCCCTTGCAACAGCTGTGCAATTGCTTTACAAACCACACACCTGAGCTCAGTGACCATTCTGCATGTTAAGTGTGCAGGGCTCCAATACCT